TCAGTTTCAACAGTAGAATTCCTTTAGAATTATTAAAGTAACTATAATACCTTGCTACTAACTCTGGAAATTCCTTTGTAATTTGCTTTACTACATAAACAATAAACCATTCATCCTCAATGTTATCCCCAAACTTTGTCACGCCAAACATATGAGCAGGAACATCTCCTAAAAACAAGAGAAAAGCAATCATATAACCAAATAAATTTGTCAGTGCAAATAAAAATATAAGTAATCATTCAATCAAACATTCATTGACTGCCTATGCTCCAGGTACTATACTGGGAGCTGGGGTTGCAATCCTGAACAAGATACAAGAAGCCTACTCTTGAGGAGCTGAGGGTCTAGACAACAGGAGATAGACAACCAAGCCATCTCAAAACAAGATGATGAACAGAGGCATGCATGCATTGAGGGCTATGTGAGCATAAAGGATGTGATATCTGAACTATGCTCATCTGGAGGAACGATCAGAAGTAGGCTTTCCAGAAAGAGAGAACAGCAAAGGCAAAGGGGCATAACACACAATGGAGTGTTCTGGGAATATTAGGAAGGTAGATATAGATGGAGCAGAAATTTTCAAACAAGTGCATTATCCAAAAATATGTAGACTTAAACAACACACTCTTAAACAACCAATGGATCAAAAAAGGAATCACAAGGGGAAATAAAAAATATCTTGAGACAAATGAAAACAAAAACACAACATACTGAAACTTATGGGATGCAGCAAAAGCAGTACTAAGAGGAAGTTTATAACTATAAAAGATCTCAAATCAACAACCTAACTTTAAACCTTAAGGAATTAGAAAAAGAAATAATAAACTAAACCAAAGCTAGCAGAAGGAAGGAAATAATGAAGAGTAGAGCAGAGATAAATGAAATAGAGAATAGAAAAACATCAATTAAACTGAGTTGGTTTGTTTATAAAATCAACAAAACTGACAAAACATTAGTTAGATTAAAAGAAAAAAGAGAGAGAGGATTAAAATAACTAAGATCAGAAATGAAAGGGGATATTACAACCTATGCCACAGAAATAAAAAAACACTGTAAGGGAACACTATGAGCAATTGTACACCAACAGATTGGATGACCTGGAAGCAATGGGTCAATTCCTAGAAACACACAACGTTATCAGGACTGGATTGTGAAGAAATAGAAAATCTGAACAGATCCTTAACTTGCAGGAAATTGAATTAGTAATCAAAGACTTCCCAACAAAGAAAAGCCCAAGGCCAGATTAGTTTACTGGAGAATTCTACCAAACATTTAAAGAAGAATTAAAATCCATCCTCCTCAAACTCTTACAAAAAATTGAAGAGGAGGGAATACACTTAAACTCATTTTATGAGGCCAGCACCTAACACTAAAGCCAGACAAAGACAATACAAGAAAACTATAGACCAATACCCTTGATTAATATTGATACAGAAATCCTTTACAAAATACTAGCAAACTAAATTCAACAACACATTAAAAGGATTGTACACCATGGCCAAGTGGGATTTATTCCTGGAATGCACAGATGGTTTGACACACGAAAATCCATCAATATAATACCCCACATTAATAGAATGAAGATCAAACAAGTGCATTGTGGAGTGTTTCAAGAGATGCCACGGCAAAGAAAAAACACAAGTGGGAAGACCAGCCCAACCAACTCTTCTTCTCCCACCCCAGATCTCCCAAGTTTTTTCAACTAGAGAAGGTCCAATTAAGAGTGTCTATTTTTATCTACCTTATGTATTAAACTTCAATTTGAACTTCATCCGGAGGCAATGGGGAACTGTTAAAGGATAGTAGGCAGGAGAGTGAAGTGACTGAATTTGTACTTTACAAAGGTAACTGGCAACAGTGTGAGAAACTGGAGACAGTGGAACCGGAAAGGTTAGTTAGGGGGCTACTGTAGTCTTTCAGGTGAAGAGATAAAGAGGGCCTAGACTATAGCCAAACAGATGTAGAGAAGGGGCATATTTTAGGAGTAACCACACTAGGATTTAGTGCCTGACTGAACATGGTGAGGTGAAGAGTTGTGTATCATTTTGAATTACTAACAAGCTTGGATAACTACGTGGATAGCAATGCCATTAAGGAAAATGAGAAAACACTGGACAAAAATGAATTTCTAGAAAAAAGATAAGGAGTTGGTTTTGGATGTGCTGTGCTAATGTGACAGTGTTCTTGCCACTAAATATCACGTTTCAGTGAGCAGGAGCTCAATAAAATTAACAGTAGGGAACACATTTGGCAACTGCTAGCCAAAAGATAACAAATAAGAACTAGATTGAGAGCCAGATTGATGGTATCACAAGATGTCAGACTCCTGATCTGAAACAAGACCCCACACAAGTCACTGCAAGAGTTGGGCCTTGGTCACCCATCCATGATTCATTTTAGTAAAACTATAAGAAATGATAGGACAAAGTGCCATATTTGGCCAGAGGTTAGATCTCAAGCACCAACAACACAGGGAAGCAGTGAAGAAACCTCAAAATGCTTCTGAGTGACAAATAATGGTCATAAAGACCAATTATTTCTCTTTATAAGTCAGGAAGAGCTATTCTCAGAACCCCACCAAACAACTATATGAAACAAGGCAGCCTACTACACACATTATCAAGAGTGAGGAATACAGAGTAACAGCTAAAGGAACTATGGTTAAGGAAGCCAGATGCCTGAATCTCTTTAGTATAGATACCTAGATAGATCATAGCACAGCAAAGCAATTAAAGTTCAAAAGAATAGCCAGGTTTTAATAATGTTGAGAACATACACTAAGGCAATGACTATTAGTTTTCATCAATATGAACTGAAAAAATTCTTTTTCAAGTTTAAGGGCTTAACCGAATATAGGCAAGCATCACTAATCTAAAAAGTTCAGGATTTAAATCTCCTGAAAACAGTGAATGAACTATGGACTATTATGATCACTGTTGTCAGAAGGACATTGAAAGTCACACATATCAAATCAAAATAAGTAAAAGAGCCTTACTTTTCCCAGGTTTATATTTGAGATTGAAAGACTGATTCTGCCAGATATAGGGGACCAGCACAGGTGCAAACTGGATCATTATCCTCTCAATATACTTTTGAAGAATCTCTTTGTGTTTTTCTGGATCTCTTGGTTCATCTGGTATCAGGAACAGGCAGTACTTCACAGTGTCTTCCACTATAGCAAGCTTCTTATTTTCCTCCATCCTTCTTTGAAAACTACATTTAAAGTTTCAATAATATAAACCATATAAAATAATGCAGAAGAAAAATCTCATTCCCTGAACTATTCTAGTCAATTCCATTAACATTGTTTTTCAAAATTTAGTTACCACATACCATCATCATGATTTTTGCCTTGAACACGTACCAAGTATAGTAACATTTATTTTATATATATATATATATATATATATATTTTTTTTTTTTGGTGAGCAAGATTGGCCCTGAGCTAACATCTTTGCCAATCTTCCTCTATTTTGTATGTAGGTTGCTGCCACAGCTTCATGGCTTCATGAATGGTGTAGGTCTGAACCCGGGATGTGAACCCATGAACCCCAGGCTGCTGAAGAGGAGCACGCAAACTTTACTACTACACCAGCAGGCTGGCCCCTATCTAATATTCTTTTAATGGCATTTTTATACTTAAAATTATGTTCTTTATACTTAAAATTATGTTAAAGGAACTTTTGATATAATGCAGTGAATGGAAATCTAGTATCACATTCCCAATTAAGTAATAAGTATGCAAGAATAAATTAAAAATGCTTGCCCTTGTATTAGCAGTGGTGTGTGTAACACACTTTGAGAAACACTGCAGTAACGTCATCTGTTTAAATACCGTCAAGAGTCCCAGGTCTAATGAGTTGTGTCACTTTGGGCATTTCACTTTCTCTTTCTGGTGCTTTTTCCTTAATTGCAGAATGAGAGTGTTACTGTATCATCTCTAAAATCCTTCCCTAGTTTAAATTTTTATTATTTAAACCCTCTTAAGAGCAATCTCCCTTACTCTGCAGAAGTTAAACCTCTGCTTTTTATGAACATTGTATGGGATAGAGGAACTCAAAACTACAAAACATTCATGTCCTATCATCTCACCCCGAAATAATCTGCCATAGCTCTAGGTCCTATAACTATCTGTCCTAAATTTGTCCCCTTTTCAGGTCTCGGGGGTATAGCTTTGGTATATTAAGAGGTGGTAGATATGTCTTTATTTTCTAAGGGTTTTCTCTTACAAACAAAAGTACTAGCTTACTGTTGCTGCCAGATGAAGCTTAGTGCATAAAGGCCCTGCACTGGATGGTCCACTGTAAGGCAGCAATTCGATTTTATGCTTACTCTGTTTTCTAACGGACTAATAGAATGAGGTTGAGAGGAACCTGCATCTTCTATCTAGACACCCACCACAGTCTGTCCAAACCATCATTTGACCTTTCAAACGAGAAGGACAGATAATAATCCTACCCACCCGCACCCCAGAATGCCAAGCACACCTTAGTACGAAGAATTTAGTGTCAGAACTGGAAGGGACTTTGAGATCCTCGGGCTAACTCCTCACTGTATAGATGAGAGAGCCAGGAGCACAGAAAGAGAAGCCACTGAGCAGCAGAGGCCTGACTTGGAGTCTAGTGCTCTTCACTCAGACCAGTCTCCCTCCTTCCTTTCGGACAAAATGAAACCAATCTGCTCACGGTTCTACGGCCTCTTTGGCACGTCTCTGCTGCGGCACGTTTCTTCAGCCGCCCTCCCACCGCGTGAGCTGGTCAGGAGCTGCCGGCAGCCTCCAAAGCCTGGCCCACGCTTGGTCCGGAAGCCTCTCTGGGACCCGAGGCCAGCGGAGGTTCTGAAAGCCAGAAAACTGCTCTGCCCCGGAACGCCCAGCGTCACCACCGCTGAGCGTCGGCGGGAGCTTTAGGTGGATGCCCCAGTGCCTTCGTCACTTCCGCTCCCGCGGGGAAGCAGGGAGGGCGGAGGACTGGAGAGGTGGGGGACGCTTGGGTAGGGTGGCGATTCGGAGTTTAGGCGACGGGGCGTGGCGGGGCCGGAAGGTGGCGGGAGGGGGCCGGGCCGGAGCCTGCGGGAGGGCCAGGCCCGGTGGCCCCCACCCTGGCGTGCCCGCCCCAGCCACGGCTAAGGAGGAAGCGGAGGATGGTCTCCAGATACACTCGGAAGGCGGTGCCACAGAGTTTGGAGCTGTGAGTGGACTGCTCAGCAACCCCAGCTGGGGCCGGGGGAGGCCAAGGCGGACCACAGGCGCTCTAGGGACCCACTCTGACCAGTCCCTCGCTCTTTTCCTTTCCCAGGGCAGGGGAAAGAAAATTTTCTTCAGAATTCACTCCTTCCAGCCTTGCTGGACGCTGCCGCCTCTATCTCCATCTCTAGCTGAGGGCATGTCACCTTGTTATCCCAGGACTTGGCCCTGTTGGGCTCCACTTCCTGAACGGAGGGACTGGGTCTTCTCGGGCATTTATAGTTTCCCCAGTGCTTCATGCCCCATTGTCGAAGGCTATTGAAGACTCCAGAAGGTATTAATAGCTGACTAAGTGCTGTCGTCAAGTTGAATAGACCTAGTGCCAGGCACCGTGCAAAGCTGCTTACAAGCGTTAGCCCACTTAATCGTGTTGACAAGGATACCAGATAGGGACTGTTATTTTGCACATTCTACAGATAGAGATCCCAGGTTTAAAGGTTGTAGCATACCATAGATTACACGGTCAGAAAGTGGTGGAGCTGAAGTACAAACCTGATGTCTATCTGATTTCTGAAGCCTGTGGTCATAACCTTTGCACTACTGCCTCCCCACCTCTGTAATTAAGCATCAGAATCATTAAGGATAAGTTTTGCTTTTGAGATTTTAGAATCTTTAGAGAGATGGCTTAAAGACGCACCTCTTACCCTAGTGAGGTGTTGTAATTTAGCAATTATGTATGTTTATTAATAATATAATATATTTGTAATATATAATTATAATTACACAATTATAATAATGTAATATTTAAATTATAGTAATGTAATAATTATAATAATGTATGTTTATTAATACTTTACACTTTCAAAAAGACTTACACATCTTGATCCTTGTAACAACTCTGTAAGATGGGTATGATTATCTTCAGTTTTTCAGAAAATGAAGTATCAGAAAGGTTACACATTTTAAGATTATATAACTAATATGTTTTTGAGCTTGGACTTTTTAATCCCAAATACCCATCATTTTTTTCTCCCTTGAGCTTTGTAATTTTAGTAACCATACGTTTGTTAATTAAATATTAACTGGTTATAAGAAGCATGGTAGTTTTAGTCACGGTTGGGTTTCTGGCTAGACTTTTTTCTAGCCACGTGACATTTAGGCAAATTACTGAATCTTTGAGGCTTTGTTTCTGTAATATAGAAATAAGACTTATTTAGAAGCATATCTAAAGCAGTAGCACAGGGCTTGACACAAAGTACATCCTCAGTAAACGGTCATTTCCTTTTCCCTTTCCACCTTTACTTGGTACAATAGCCATACAAAGAAAATCAGTCTATGGTCTCTCCTTGCCTTTTAGAAGCTTATTATCTAGTAAGTAATAGGATATCTACACAGTAGCCATTCAGATAATAAGCTTTTTAGGAACTAGGAAGAAGAAACTCATTTACCAACAAAGTGCACAGGGCTTAACTAAAAATCTGCTTTTATAATTAATTCTGACCATTCTGAAAATTAAAAAATATATATTTCATGGGAAAAAATTCTTAATAGGAACTAATTGGGCCGGAATTATTGACCCAGTATAGTTATGTTCCTTGTTCTCTATTGTTGATTTAATACTCCCTAAAGATAACTCTCCCAAAAGGTGATTCTCTAGATGAGTCAGGATGATGTGAATAATGAAGATAATGAAGATTATATGCATCTTAATGACAGTTAATTAAAAGCAATTTTTACTTTAGGTGTTATAATGATAATTTGTTTTGAAGAAATAGCTTTAGTTTTCTCCCTAATAGTTTCAAAGTATAGACATTGAAAAAAGTTTGGGAAACAGTGATTTTCAACATACAGCTTAACATTTTTTAATGATAAATTTCAAACATAAATGTGCAGTGAATAATATACTGAACCACTCATCACTCATATTCAACAGTTGTCAAAATTTTAATATATTTGCTTCATCTATTGTCTTTATCTTTTTTCAGCCTCTTTGTCTGTCATCTGTGAAATAAGGAAGCAAAATCCCAGACACTATCATTTCACCCCTATATACTTCATTAGGCATCTCTAAAAATTATAGACATTTTCTTATGTAGCCACAATGCTGTGATCAAATTTAATATTTCTTTGGTGTTATCTAATTATCACTTCATGATCAGATTTCTCTGACAGACTAAATCTGTCTTAAGTTTCTACTTTGTAGCTGGAATCTGCATTTCTGATTTCCACTACTGTCTCGAAGACAAGCTTTTGGTTATAGGATCATTGAATGAGAGAGGTACAAATAACTGCACAAATCCATCCCCACCATTGAGAAATAATTTAAAGTACAAGCTCCCCTTTAAAGGCCCTTAGCTTTATCTTGATGTACAAAATGATATAATTCACTAAAATCTCAAACTACCCGTTTGCTCTGAGAGGCCTCGGAGCCAGACTACTTGAATTTGAATCCTGGCTCCATTACCTACTAAGCCATATGACCTTAAGTAACCTGCTTAAGTAATCCGTCTATGCCTCACTTTCTTTTCCTGTGAAATAAGAGTATTAGAGATTTATAATATGCATTTGCATATTAAAGGAGCTGGGAAGACCTCTTGTAAAGAAACCTGTGTAACTTTGTTTAACCTGTCAAGTTTCCAAAATTTATTTGACTACAGAATTTTGTGGGGAAAGAAATGTAGATGTAGATGATTAGGATTAGAATATATAATAATTGACCCCATAGTTTATTCTAGTGCACATGTTGAACTCTCTAGAGCAGCACTGTCCAATAGAAATATAATACAAGCCACATATGTAATTTTAAATTTTCAAGTAGTCACATTAAGTAAATAGTAGAGAGAGTTATCCCTGATGGCCTAATAGTTAAAGTTCAGCATGCTCCACTTTGGCAGCCTGGGTTCGGTTCTGAGCATGGAACCACACCACCCATCTGTCAGTGGCCATGCTGTGGTGGCAGCTCACATAGAAGAACTAGAAGGACTTATAACTAGGGTATACAACCATGCACTGGGGCTTTGGGGAAGGAAAAAAAAAGAGATTGGCAACAGATGTTAGGGTGAATCTTTCCCTGCAAAGAAAAAAAGAAACACACTCTCTTACTCTATCTTAAAAAAAAAAATAGAAACAGGTGAAATTATTTTTTTTACCTTTTTATTTTGAAATAATTATAGGCTCACAGGAAGTTACAAAAATAGTACATAGAGTCCCATGAACCCTTCGCCCAGCTTCCTCCAATGATGACAACTTACGTAGCTAAAGTATAATTTCAAAGCCAAAAAACAAATGGTACAATACTGTTAATTAGACTATAAACCTCATTCAGTTTTCACCAGTATTCGTATCCACTCCTTTGTGTGTGGATGTGTGTACATAGTTCTATGCAATTTGGTCTCCTTTATAGGTTTGTGTAACCACCAGTACAATCAAGATAGAGAGCTGTTTCATCACTACCAAGGAACGTCCCTGTGTAACCCTCACATCCACTCACTCCTTTGTCCATCCCTTGGTAACCACTAATCTTTTCTCCACCTCTATAGTTTTGTCATTTGTGAATGTTATATAAATAGAATCATATAGTATGTAACCTTTTGAGATTAGCTTTTTTTACTAACCATGATGCCCTTGAAATCCATCCAAGATGTTGCATGTATCAATAGTACACTCTTTTCACTGCTGAACCATATTTCGTTGTGTGGATATTAGCAGATTTTAACCATTCACCCATCAAAGGACATTTCAGTTATTTCCAGTTTTTTCCAATTATAAACAAAGCTGCTGTGAACATGTGAGTATAGATTTTTGTGTGAACAGAAGTTTCATTTCCCTGGGATGAGTGCCCAAGAGTGCAACAGCTAGATCTTATGGTAAATGCATGTGTTTAGTTTTATAAGAAAACATGACGCTGTTCCAGAGTGGCTGTACTGGTTTACATTCCCACCAGCAGTGTATGAGACATCCAGTTTCTCCACATCCTCACCTGCATTTAGTGTTTTTACTCTATTTTATTTTAGCTATTCTAATAGGTGTCTTGTTATAACTTATATTTCAACTTGCAGAGAAATTAATTTTAAGAATATATTTTGTTTAACCCAGTATATGTAAAATATTTTAACATGTAATCAAGGTAAAATAATGATATATTGTACATTCTTGTACTGAGACCTCGAAATTGTGTGTTTTTCGCTTAAAGTGAATCTCATTTCCAACCAACCTCATTTTAACTGCTAGTGGCTGGTGGCTACCATATTGGACAGTGCAATTCCAGAGCAGTAATTAGTAGGTGACTAACTTGTACATCAAATTACTGAAAAGTATATATTTTTTCTTTACAGGAAATATAATTTTGTTTTTATCTTTCACAGGAAAGGAATAACGAAATATGCTCTTAATCATCATCCCCTTCCAGAGCAGCTGGATGAAGTTTCCTCTACCAATGACAGCCATGGAAAAGACACATGTTCCCAAAGGTAATAACACAAATTGTACTTGTTTGCTTATTATATCTGATAACAGCAAGTTTTATTTTTTGGTTTAGGATTGGTATCAAGTCATGTGCTAATGAAACAAAGCAAGAATTTTTATCATGTTTTCAGTACCATTCAACTTTCATTCTGGAACAGCTAATGGAAACAACATCATACTTCTTTTTAAAACCTTTGAAAAGTAGTATTATGAAGTAGTTAAAAGCATAGACTCAGGAGGAGTCCGACAGATCTGATTTTTAATCCTGGTTTTGCCACTTATTAGCTGAGTAACACTGGGGAAGTTACTTATCTGATAATAGTATCTCTTCAAGGATTGGTGAATATAAATAAGATAAAGTATGTAAAACATGGCACAATGCTTGGCATGTAGTCAATGCTGAGTAAATATTAGCTGTACTTACTATTTTAAGAAATAGAACAGAGGAGACTATAGCTGCACAGAGGGTTCTGAGAAGCAATGTGGTATCCTAGAAAAACCATAGTCATAAAACCTAGTACTAAATCTCAGATTCTTTGTCTTTGAGATGAGGTTAATTGAATTCTACATTACCAGGTCATTGGGAGGATAAAATAGGATTACTATCTGTAAAAGTGCTTGGTAAACTGTAAAAGGGCCCTAGAAGTTCAGATACTGCTATTAATATTTCTCAAGTGTCTTTAGTTGTCAAGGGTAGATGCTATAAGTGGAATGTTAAAGTATTCATTGTAAATTATGACTAGAATTATTTAGAATGGCTAACATCAATTCTATAGGAATTAGGTAGGATTTTTCTTTCATGCTCAGACTTCAAGTTCTTCATTTATTTTTGCCTCTGTGGATATATTTGTGCACTTACTTATCACCTAATAAATTACTGAGTAATTAATGCTGCAGAAACTTGAGGAAATATAAGAATTTTTCTGTTTTCTTTCTTCCTTCCAAATTGTGCATTTAGTGAGTCCGACATCACACTAGAATCACCTTTTACATCTGCTGACACTGGGAATTCAAGGTCTGCTTTTCCAAGTTATACAGGCACAGGGATCTCTACTGAAGGCAGCTCGGACTTCTCCTGGGGATATGGTGTGAGTTGTATGTTATCAGTCTGATGAAATGGTTGGGAGACTATTTTGGGAGTTAGGGTTTGTCAGTTTTGTCAGTATATTTCATTCCTTCATTCTCCTACACTCCTTACATTTTAATACTTAAATTTACCACACTTTATAATAATTGTAAAGAAGCATCAGTCTTTACCCTCTTTCACTATTTGCTTTGTTTTATGGATACAGTAGTTGATCCTTAGAGATGCTTGGTGTTTGACTTAAACAGTTGCAAGTTAGTATGGACCTAGCCCTTGAATCTACTCCTTTTGCTATGCTTAGTCCACTGATGTGTCTCTCCACCACTAATGTTACCTCATTGTTTAAATTTTTTTTTTTAAAGATTGGCACCTGAGCTAACATCTGTTACCAGTCTTCCTTTTTTTTCTCTTCTCCACCCCCCCCTCCCCCCCGCCCAGTACATAGTTGTATATTCCAATTCTAAGTCCTTCTGGCTCTGCTATGTGGGACACCACCTCAGCATGGCTTGCCGAGTGGTACTAGGTCCATGCCCGGGATCCAAACCAGCGAAACCCTGGGCCACCGAAGTGGAGTGCGCAAACTTAACCACTTGGTGACAGGGCCGGCCCCCAAAAAGTTTTTGAAAGTTTATTATTAAGTTTATAGCCTGCAAGAATGTTTATGATATATTGTTAAATGAAAAAATGCAGGTTAAAAATAATATGTATAGTGTGGTTCTAATTTTATTTTACAAACTTTTGTGCTTATATATAGTAGGAAAAAATGACTAAAGATATTTACCCAAAATGTTAGTCAGTCGTTATTAATTGGCTGTTGAGATAATGAGATTTATTTATTTATTCATTCATTCATTTATTCACTTATTTATGGCTATCTCCCATTATAAAATATTATTTTTAAAAGACTAGCAACTTTAAAAGAAATTTTATGCTTATTTATTGCCTTGGTGCAATAGGTGTTTTTCTGTGTGCTCTTTCAATGTGTATTTAATTTGGTCTAGCTATAATCATGGTGTACATACAATATTATGCTCAATTTTTTCATTGAATGTTATTTTGTGAGCACTTTTCCACAATACTCACTTTATATAATGTTGTTGTTAGCAACCTGCTTTTTTAACAAAAACCTGCTAATTGTTAAAACCTATTATTAGCACCATTAGTTATTTTCCAGTCATTTTAATTTGGATGTATGTGTACCTTCCTTACATTGTTGTGCGAAATATGTGCATCCTATTTTGTGGTCTGCTTTTTCATTCTCTATTATTTCATACAGACATTTTCTTTTACTACTTCCATACCTGTCAACTTGAATAGTTATATGTAGTTATATTTCCTGGTTTTAATATATCATAAATAGAGCTTTCCCTTATTATCTGATACTTGGGTTTTCAGTTTTCCTTCATTCATTCAAAAATATTTATTGAACACATTTGTTGTCAGATACTGTACTGGGGCATATGAAGTGAGTGCAACTTACATGATTCAATAGTCTAATGAGGGAGACTGACAAAAGCAAATAAACAAAATAACTACAAAAGGCAGTAAGTGCTCTAAGGAAGATGACAAAGTGCTGAAATAGAACATTATAAGGGGAATTCACTTTAGATAGGGTTATCAGGTAGGGTAGATCTGAGACTTGAAGATTGAAGAGTTAACTACATGAAGAGTGAGGAAAAGAGCTTTCCAGACAGGTAAGTGGCAGCATACGCAAAGCCCTAAGGAGGAAAAGAGCTTTATGTGTCCAAAGGAAAGTGTTTGGTGTGTTCTTAGAACTAAAAAAAGGTCAAGATAGTTGGAGGATGGTATACTAGGGGAGAAAAGCACAAATGAGATTGGAGAGGTAGGCAGGACTAGATCACATAAGGCATTGTAGGCCATGGTAAAGAATTTAAATTTTATCCTAAGGGGATGAATGAGTTAATTTGATGGCTGATTGTGAGGTTTTAGTGTACTGACTGTATATTTCCATCATTTGTCTCTATATTGTAATTAGTATCTCTTTATAAGTTAGGAATGTCATACAAATATTTCCCATTCCCTTGCTTTCCTTTTGGTATTTATTTTGTAACATTTTTTTTAATATTAAAATACAATTATATCACTGTTGACCTTCATTTCTTTACTAGTCAGGATTCTATCTTTAGAAAAATGGAATAATATTTTTCTTCAGAGCTTTTTAATAGAATTTTGCAAGTTTAAGCTTTTTAACTCACCAGACTTTTTAATAATATATGGTGTGAGGTATGAATTAAGTTCTTACGCTGTTGAACCTATTTTGTTTGAACCATTTTTCTATATTTGACTTATATCATATGGTTTTCATGATATTTTGAAAGTATTTAGGGCAAATCTACCAGTTTGTGTCCTCTTTACTCTTTCAGATAAATTTTATTTTCACTTGTATCAAATTTTATAAAGTATTCATCAGGGATTTAATTGATAGTGCATTATAACTTTATATTAAATTAGGGAAGGTGTAGAAAGAACTAAAATTTATTGAATATTTGTAGATGCCAGGCACTGTGCTAAGTACTTTCTATACACATTTCAATCATTTGTCATCTTAACTGAACTTAGTATTCTAGCTAGAAATATATTTCTTTTATATAGATATTCCTTTAGTCTTCTTTATCATTTTATTATTTACTTTGAGTAAATCTCTTGTTGTAAGTTACAATTCATATTAAAATTGAATTTAGCATTTAATTGTTCATTTTACTTACTTGTGAACAGTCTTAGTGTTTTTGAGCTGTCACTGGTATATAGGAATACACTTTTCCCCCCAATTTAATTAATGGCCTACTGCTTTGATGAATATATTTTTTATTCATAATCATTCTGGAGTTTATATTCTTAGGTTTATTTATTTTAAAGTAATATTTTAAAATTCAAAGTTAATATAATGATGTGAAGAAAGACTTTCCTTTTTTATTCTATTATTTAAAAATTTTATAGCTACCCCAATTCTGTTCTATTTTAGTTTTATATGGTTTGATTTTTTTTTCAATAAGCAAGTAAGGTATCTTCTAGGAGTACGAAGATGGATATCTGCAAATGTATTAATATGTTTAACATCAGTGAATTAAAGGAAAAAATATGATCAAACCAATAGATGCTGAAAAGATATTTGATAAAATTCAAATCATACTTTATAAAAATTCTCAGTAAGATAGAAGGAAACCCTTGAAACTTGATAATGACCATTTGCCAATTGAATAGCAAGTATCAGTTTAAATGGCAAAACACTAAAGCTTTTTCAATAAGTAACCAGATAGGAATTCTTTATTGACAAATTTAATTGATTCCTTTACTAACTTTGTACATTTAAATTATTTTTATTTTTACATAAAGTTTCTCATTTTATACTCTGTTCAGTGCCATTTGTTTTTCCACTTAACAATATATTTTGAAGACTATCAACATTATAAAAGACTTCTTTGTTCTTTAATGGCTGCATAGCCATTGCTATTACAAAAAAAGTGTCATTTATAACCCTGCGTATATATTATTTTATATAAATGTGAATATATCTGAGGATAAATTTCTAGAGGTGGAATTGCTGGTCAAAAGATATGTGCTTTTGTAATTTTGAAAGTTGTTGCCAAATTGACCTCTGTAAAAGTTATTCCAATCTGTTGTCTCACCAGGAACATGGAAGAGCCTGTTTTCCAACACTCTTGACCAAAATGGTGAATTGTCTAACTTTTAAATCTTTGCCAGACCTTTAGATTTAAAAAAAGATACCTGATGCAATCTCGGGGGTGGCTAGAAAAAAAAGCTGTACAACTTACAGAAAACTGCGTAACTAACGTATTGTGTGTGTGCATGTATGTGTGTGTATGTGTATGAAAACAGTATCCAGATCAAGACATAGACAATCAGCACCCCACAAGGTTCCTAGATGCTGTCTGCCAACCC